TTGTTTATCCTGCCCATCTTATCTAGATAGGCCTGCATAGATATTAATATGCACAAAAACAAGACAGCAAAACAAAGTAACAAAAGACAACAAAACCAATGACAAAAAAAGAAAAGAAAAGCCTGTAAATAGTTCAAGGTCTGTTTGTTGATCTTTAGGAGTGTTTTCCAGTTGAGTCTGATGGGGTACCATGCCCTGGCCCCAAAGTCTATTTTTGGTATTCCCTTGGGACTTCCTTGCTCAGATCAGAAAGTTCTTGATAGATTATTATTACCTTTATACTAAGTAATCTGATAAAGTCCATTTTGAAAAATGAAAGAAATACCAAATTCTTCAGCAAAGATACCCTATGTATTAGGGGGAGGCAGTGTAGCCTCTTACAAGAGTGAATGATGTAGATTTTTAAAGAATATGAAAACTCAGATGTTAAGCTTTTCAAAGAACACATGATCAATTTTGAGAGTTCATGGGAACTAAACCGAGTTTTCCTGGAGGAGAAAATGAGAGAAAGAGTAGAATGCACATTTATCAGAAATGAGAATCATAAAGAAAAGGGTGCTTCTAGCAGTCAATGCTGGGCCCAGCGGTTTTGCTGTGACACCATGGTTAAGAGCATTGGACTTTGCAGCTGACTGTTCACCAGCCCAGAGGCCCAAGGAAAAAAGACTTCTCTGCCTGCGTTTCCATTTAGACCGGCAATGAGAGTTATTGCATGCGAGAGTTTGTCAAATGCTTAACACACTGAATGTAGCATACCAGTAGTACAGTATCATATTCCTCACCTACATCATCCTCTTCATCGCGTCGTTCACCACTCTCCTGATCCTCGTCAGCATCAAGACATGCTCTGAGGGAAATACTGTTGATGTTAGTTGCCTCCAAGCCCATTGCAATTCATAGTGAACCCCTATGTGCAGAGCAGAACTGCCCCAATGGGTTCTCCAGGCCTGGACCCTCATTAACTGATTGCCAGGCCTGCTTTCCTGAGGAGCCCTGCTGGTGTAGCAGTTACTCATTGGCTTGCTAACTTCAAGGTCAGCAGTTCAAAACCCCCAGCTACTGCTTGGAGGAAAAGACAAGACTTTCTACTCTTGTAAAGAGTTCCAGTCTCAGAAACCCCCAGGTGCAGTTCTGCCCTGTCCTGTAGGGTCACTGTGAGTCGGCAGTGACTCCATGGCGGCGAGTTTGGTTTTGAGGTTGAGGCCTGATTTCCTAGGAACTTCTAGGTTGGTGGGTTTGAAATACCAACCTTTTGTCTAATCGTGGAGCACTTAATGATTTGAGGCTTCCTTCCGAGGGCCTCCTACATAGTGAGACTTCTACCTTGACAGGTGCTAACTTGGAAGTAGAAGCAGAAGGAAGTCAGTATACATTGGATAAAAAGGCAATGTACCGGGCAGGCCACAGGCTACATCGTTTTTAGGGGTTCACATTTTCTCTGAGCTGAAGTACTTGGTAAAGCCCAGAAGATGGAAGGAGCCAACAGCACACTCTGAGGACAGAACTCAACGTAGAAATAAAGGCAGACTCTGCTTTCCATGCTTGTGGTCTTAGTTTTATTGACATCCCCTTAAGTTGTAGGCAAGGAAATGGACTTAAAAAAACTGTGATTTCGGCTATTTGCAATGGAATGCCTGAAAGTGGATTGTATCCAGAATGCATTAAGAACTCTAACAAATCAAAAGAGGATTGAGCAGTTTGGTTTTTTTTAAGATGAGCAAGGCATGAAAAGGCACTTTATAAAAGGAGCTATACAAATAACCAATAACTACATGAAAATGAGCTCAGTCTTATCAGTGCAATGGGAAATCCAAAATAAACCCATAATAAGAGATGACTCGTGCCCATTAGAATGGCTAAATTTAAATAGATGGACAATCCTAAATGATAATAAAGATGTAGAGCAACTAGAGCTCTCATACATTTCTGTTGGGGATGTACAATGCTATAATCCCTTAGAACAGTGGTTCTCAACCTTCCTAATGCCACGACCCTTTCATACAGTTCCTCATGTTGTGGTGACCCCCCAACCATAAAATCATTTACGTTGCTACTTCATAACTATAATCTTGCTACTGTTACGAATTGGGCGACCCCTGTGAAAGGGTTGTTTGGCCCCCAAAGGGGTCATGACCCACAGGTGGAGAACTGCTGACTTAGAAGCATTCCCTCTGACAGCTTCGTATAAACATTTATAATGCCCTGCAGTCCCTCTCTCAAGCAAGCCAAACCTGTCCATGGAAACAGTACATGGGGGCTTTCACGGCGGCCTCATCTGTAATAGTCAAACACTGGAAACCAGCCAAAAGCTTATCAGCAGGCAAGCGGATAAACAAATGACCCTCAGGATACACGCTAGGATCCTACCAGGTGTGCTGAGGAATGAGCAGCTGACGCGTCCACCATGGGTGAATCCAAAATAGAGCACGTGGAACAAAGAAAGTCAGGCCTCAAGGAGTGGATGCTGTATAGTCCATTTGTCTGAGGTGTCAGAATAGGCAAAACCAGAGCTATGCTAAGAGAAGAAGTCAAAGTGCTTACCAGAGGCGGGGGAGGCCGGAGTGGGCTTCCCACTGTGAGGGCAGGGATCCCTGTCCTTTAGGGGTGGTCAGAACGCATAGGACTAGATGCTGAAAATCTCTGTGCTTTAGACCTCATCTTCAAATCAGCCAGAAGGAAAAGTACATTTATAGAGCTAGTTCTGTAAAGATGAGTGCTTACTATTGCTCTCGTTCTCCTCACTTTAGGCCCCTTCTCTAAGTTAGAGCATGCAGTCCTTGTAAAAGATGTGGCCACACAAAAACATGTTTTATCCTGCCGACGCTCAGCCCCGTTGCTGTCGTGGTTACGCGTTGGACTGCTAACCTCAAGGTCGGTGGTTCGAAACCACCAGCCACTGTGGGGGGAAAAAAGGAGGCTTTGTTACCCTTGTGAAGAGTTTACGGTCTCAGAAACCCCCAGGGGCAGTTCGACTCTGTGCTTTGGGGTCGCTGGGAATCAGAATCGACTCGAGGGCAGCGAGCTTGGCTTGGGTTATTTGTATTGATTTATTCACTTACTTTTGCTGAGCTTCATGGGTTGCTAAGCCCTAGCCTGAGAGGTCGTAGATGGGTGACATGTATCTTTACAGCTCTCCCGCCTCCACTCCATCGAGAGCAGCTACGCCTTCAGCTGCGTGCATTCTGCTGGAAGAAAGACGTGACGTGCGTAAAGCACACAGTCCTGGGCTGCAGACCACAGCCCCTGGTGCGGACAAGCTGGTCTTCCCTGCCCCCGTCTGAATGACACCTGCAGGGGGCCTGAGGGTGCAATGCCAGATGCCCCAAGGAGCCTCCCTTTGGCCTCTGGTGCTCCTGGCGCAGCAGTGCTGGGCTGCTGGAAAGGCCATGTGACTTGCCAGCAGGGCTGGCACTACAGGAATCACTGACAGGGAGGGGCTCTGGGACACATGGGTGCGGAGGCCACCCTGGGGCTTGTGACCTGAATGAGATTTCTCGAGCCCCTCCTTGAAAAGAGGATGCCCGCACCAGTGCGCCACGGTAGCATGAGGTAACAGATCTGAAAACCACTTTGTTCTAGATAGCGGGTAGAATGATCACCCAGTCCAGCCAAGGCTTCTAAGTCCCCACTCCGGATGATTGCAGATTGAAGGCCCACCTCTTCCTACAGCAAACCGCGAGTCCGCTGTATTGCAATGAAAACTTGGCACAGTCGTACAGGGGCTGTGTGCCCATTCATTACCTGCGTAGTCGTCGTTAGAATCGATGGTGCCTCTGAGCAACTGATAGCTGCTTGGACGCCGAGCAGTGTGCCACCCGTTCACAGCTGGCTCAGTCACCCTGTGCAGACTCACCGAGAGGTGCCTCGGATGGAGGGCCTGTTCTGAAAGAGCACAGCCCTGAAAGCCCCACGGAGCAGAGTGCCACCTCTGGGTCACCACACTGGGTCATCACGTGTCAGAACCAACCCAGCGACAGCTGGTTTGGATTGGGGTTGATGCCCACTGGCTCGTGACCTGTGATTATGTAACCATCCATCATCCGTCTCTATCCCTCAGGTTCTCTCTCTCTCGAAACTCGCTGCCAGTGAGTCGATTCTAACTCCGAGCAGCCCTGCAGGACAGGCTAGAACGGCCCTTGTGGGTTTCCCAGCCTGCACCTCCTGATGGCATCAGAAAGCCTCGTCCTTCGCCCTCGGAGGGGGATGGTGGTTGCAAATGGCTGACCTTGTGGTTAGCAGCCCGGCGAGTAACCACGACCCCACAGGGGTAGCTGCTTCATTCTGAGCACCTGTCCAACGGGGACGCACGCCGAGAGCAGTCACTGTGGGTCAGCAGACAGAGGCTGTGCCGTCAGGAGAAGGACCGAGCTCTGTCTGAAGCCTGGCCCCTCACTAGCAACCTGAACTTTGGGCACCGTACTGTGTCTGCTTAAGGATCAGCTCCCTCTTCAATAAGATGGACCTGCCTGCCTTGCTTGGCTCAGATAGGACGGAATGTGTAATATTCTATACAATGAACCTCGTCATCCTATCAGAGTTGGCTGCTGTTCCTTTGCTGGTGGCTCCAGGTCTTGGAACACACGGGGGACACTTGAGAGCCACGAATAAGTGGGCGTGTGACAGGACCAGCACCCATTGCTATGGAATCCATTCCGACTCTTGTGGCCCCATCGGGCAGAGGAGAACTTGATGGGACAGGCACCCACTGCTGAGGAATCCATTCCGACTCATGCGGCCCCATCGGGCAGAGGAGAGCGGCCCCTGCAGGGCATCTCTTCCTCCCATAGAGCAGCGGGTGCCTTCAAACCACAGACCTGGCAGTTGGCAGCTCCACTCATAGCCCACTCAGCCACCAGGGCTCATGACAGTCTTGCTTCTAAAGGCACAGGGTGGAAGAGAGGCAGAGTAGCGGCTGATGGGAAGGGCACGTAAGACTTGCAACGGCTGTCGGGGTGATGGTCCAGGGGGCGGTGCCTGGACTGACCGTCTTTCCCTCGCAGGTGACAGCCGAGCTGGATGCCTGGAATGAGGACTTGCTCCGGCAGATGAATGACTTCAACACGGAGGATCTGACGCTGGCAGAGCAGCGGCTGCAGCGCCACACAGAACGGAAGCTAGCCATGAACAACATGACCTTTGAGGTCATCCAGCAGGGCCAGGATCTGCACCAGTACATCATGGAGGTCCAAGCCTCAGGTAGGCGGCCCCCTCACGTTCTCCTGGCTGGGGTGGTGCTGGGAACGAGAATACCAGCTCGTCTCCCACGAGCTCTTCTGCCCCGTGAGTTCACTTTATTCCGACCGATAGAGAGATGTTTACTCCCATTTTAAAGAGAGAGGCTCCCCAAACCAGGAGAGCTGAAGTCATGCCTCCAGCATCAGCAGGTTGGGCTCTGTGTACTAAGGGGGAGAGTAGGACTGGGGTCTCCTGGTGCTAGAGAAACGCTGAGAGGACCAGTGCCAGCGTTTGCACGGATCCAAAGAAAGCTGCCCTGGAAAAGCACACAGTGGGTTGGCTTCAGATGCAGTCAGACACGGGGTGTGCTGTGCTGGAGTGGGCAGACAACTCCCCCACCAGGCTCGCACCTCGGCTCCAGTCCGTTGCTCGCGGAGTCTAGAATTGCGTATGTATCGCGGGGCTGTGAGGGTGCATCAGAAGGGCTAACAAGGACTTATGGCGAGCTCATCCAGTCCAAAACCAGTCAGCCTATTCACAAATATGGCTGGCTTGCTCAGGATTCATTCGATATTTGTCCAGCACTGGAATATTGCCACTGCCCCAGGCAGCCTTCCATGTTCGAACTAGACGAGCCTCTGGGTCCCTAAGGTCCCAATGAAGTCAGAGAAGTGACTGGGTTGGTCAGAGAGAGCTAGAACCCAGGTCTCCTGCTCCCTCACCCACACCCATCACTGCTACCTGGGTCCTACCCTAAATGAAGGTTCCTTGTTCTCTTGGTCAGGGAGACGGGCTGAGGCCATCACCTCTTTAAAATCCTGCTGGTCCATGTCCCTGCTGATCATCATGAAGGTTGTCAGAATCAGAAGATTATCAGGGGACGCTTAGCAATCACTCTGAACTTAAGGGTACCGTGTTTCCTTGGACCACCTGAAAGTATAAATGCTATCACGGAAAGGAACTTTGCTTCCACGTGAACATACAAGTACTTCCCCGTCATTTCGATTTTCATCCTCAGATGTTTACCATGTTCTGAGCAGGCTGCAGTTGCCTCTGAGACACAGCGTGCATGTAGCCGTCGTGCAGATGCCGCACAGGCCACCCACGCTGCATTCTCTCTGGGACAATGTTCAGGCCCCACCTCCCGAGATTCCGACACCGATTAAGACTTCCAGAGATTAACACTTAAAGATCGCTGATGACCCTGTGTGTTAGGGGTTAGGCTGCTAACCACAGAGTCTGTGGTTCAAACCCACCAGCCACAGGAAAAGATGAAGCTGTCTGGTCTTGTGAAGGCTTAAGTTTCCCAAGCCCTCTATAGGGTCTCCATGAGTCTGGACTGACTGCCTGGCAGTGGGTCTGGGGTTGGTTTGAACAGGACGTGGGCATCAGCGAAAAGCTGTTCAGGTGAGTCAACTGTGTGTCCAGGGTGGAGAATCCCTGTTTCCCATCTTGACCATGGTCAAGGACAGTGACTCTTCAAGCGTGTTCCCTCCCCCCCGCAGCAGTGTCAGCGCTGGTTAAAAATGCAGGTTCCAGGGCCCACTCCAGGCCTTCCACACCACATTCACTTGAGGTGGATCCAGAAATCAGTGTCTCAGAACGCATCCCAGTCATTCGGACACCTGCCCCTGGCTGCTCAGTCTGCTGCCTGGGCCAACCTCGCCAGCGTCACTTGCTGCTGTTGGGGAGCGGGTTAGACATGCAGAACCCCAAACGTATGCACCTGAATCTGCACGTTCTCACAGTCTCCAGTGATGCATGTGCGCATTAACGTTGGAGAAGCAGTGATCTAGGATAAGGCCTGTACTTTCTCCGTGCCTTATTAGGGAAGCGGGCGATGGCCCTTTCTCTGTGATTGAGAACCTTTTGCGTTTGGGCTTCAGCTCTCCAGTTTGTCCTCCTGGGGCTCAGGATGATAGCTGTCTATCCAGCTAAAACTGTGACAGGACGCAGACACGGTGCCCAGTAGAGAGGCTGCCACTGAGAAGCTAGGCAGGGATGCCGCCCTCATGCCTCAGAATTGACATGTCGAACAGGAGAGGCCCTGTCTGCCTGGAGACTGGCAGCAGTTTGTACCTCTGTGTGGCAGGCCTTGAGCAAGCCAACCTCTGTCCCGAGAGCTAAGTATCCATGGTAACAGAAAGACTGCTGGGAGCTGGCAGCCCCTGAGGACTGCTTGTCACTGTGGGCTGGCTGTGCTTAGCGACCAGGAGGACTGAGTGGGTGCAAACGCCCCCAGGCAGATGGGCTGTCTACCCCCATGTGATCCTGTTCAGAGATGAGAGTTTTGTCAAAAGATGTTTGATTGGCCACTTCAGCCCCCTCTGCTGAGACTGGCTACTGCCTGGCTTCCACCGAAGTGACTGTCCAGTCTAACGCAGCCCGTGAGGTTTGGGGGGCCTGGACCCAAGTGTCTCAGGGGATCTGCGACCTGGTTCAGCAGAGGAGGCATCTTCTCTCCGGACTTAGAGCAGGGAGGACAGGTCGCACCAGCGCTGGAGGCGGTGGGTGGAATAGGAAGGACAGAGAGTGGGCCGTGCCCCGGGTGGCTGCAGAAGAGAGTCCTCCAGACGCAATGATGAAGACCACAGATAGCTTGGACAGTTGCAAGGGATAGCCAGTACACGTATGCTGATTAAAAATAAAATAGGCTGTTGCTTTAAAGAAAGGACAGTTGGCAACATATGGGTTTGGTTGCTATTTAGAACTCCGTGTTAAATCAATTGAGGGCTCATGCTTTGACTTTACCATCGTCAATGGGAGAATGGAATTTCCATATGCTTAGTTTCAAATATAAAGTTGAAGACATTGAACCAGGTTCTCCTGAACCCTTCTGGCATGCCAACAACTCTGGAGCAAAAGCCTTTGCCTAATCAATGCCAGCCTTAGGACTGGAAGGCAAAATGGGGACAATGTCCTCATGATCTTTCCTCATTAAAGTACCATCTGTTTGATGGTTAGGAGGTGCTGGTTTGGCTGCAAGGAGCCAGCTCTGGAAAACAAGCTGAATTCGAGGTCTAGCTTCACCACCGTGAGCAGTTAGACTTTGGGAGTCATTTTTCTGTAGGTTTCGGGTGGCTCCTCTGTCCAGCCTTGACTCCTGACGTCCCTCCCCCAGTTCTCACTGCCATGCTGTAGCCTGCTCGTCTTCTCATAGTTGCCATCTGGCCATGCAGCTGTTACCCTTGGCCTGAGGAATCAGGCGTATCTCTTTAGCGTGCCTGCCGAGGGGTCATTGTGAGGATGCTGTAGTATGACACATGTCAAGCCCATGGCAGGTGCTCAGGAAAGCACACCTGCTTGTGTAGATCTTCCATACAAACCACTTTCCATCTGTGTTCTGGAAGATTCTTCTGCAGCACACGTGCCAAGACTCCTTCCTTCTTCTCTTTTTCAGCCCCAGCATCTGGCAGGGTAGCTCTGCCTTGCACATAGCGAGACCTTAAACATGTTCGCTTAGTTGATGGAAAAGGAACATCGGTGTGGGTGGAACAGACATAGGTAAAAATAAAGCCCTGCCAATAACTCCCCACGGTCCACAGAGGAAAGAAAAGGACTGTGCTTTTCTAAAACCAAAGCCACTCTGGGCTGACTAGGAGTGGGGACCTGCTGAGGGCCAAGACAAGGGGACATGAGCCTTGCTGCAGACTGTGAATCTGGTGGCTTATTGAGAATCTCCTGGCCCAAGAATCTTCCAAAGGCCTCAAGTATGGTGGCGGGGCACCCCCTCAGGGATTCTTACTTAATTGGTCTGAATGGGGCCTCAATTTTTCCAACTTCTCAGGTGATTGTGCTGTACAGCTAGCATTCAGAACACTGATCTAGAAACCTGATTAAGGCCTTTGTCCCTTCTGAGCTGATTATTGCGCAGAGGGAGTGACACAGATAGAGAAAGGGGGGAGGGACAAGAGAAGAGACGATGTCCACTGGGGAACAGACACAAGGTTTTAAGAACTCAGAAACTGTTGAAAACCTGTTAGGAATATGGGCAGCAGACCCAGGAACACCTAAACCGTTCCCTGGATCCAGCTACCCCTCTCCTCAAGAAAGTTAGGTCCCCTGGGCCTGGCAACAAAGGAAAGCAAAGTCACGTGCTTGTTACTGGCTGTATCGCCTTGAGACCTAAATGACTGCAAATGCATAGCCTCCTGACAACGTTGTGTCTCGTAAGGAGACCCTGGCCTCTGGATCCAGTGGTTCAGAGTCTCATCTGCATCTTGGCCTCATCCTGGGGGCTCTGAGAGTTACTGAGGCATGAATCCCATCCCGGTTTTTTGGGTTTTTTTTTTTAATCTCCAGACAAATATAATAAATTAAAACCTGTGAAAACCAGAATCTATGTAAGTCAGAATGTAAGTCAGAAATCTGTCAGAAAAGGAAAACCCAATGTTTTCCACTAAAATGAACCCTAGAAAGATGGTAAGACTTCACACGCTCAGACACAGACAACGCGCGAGACCTGGACAAACAAGGCAGCCCCATCAAGTCCCAGCTCCCGTCAGGGTGAAAGCGATGGGCTAGGACAGGTGGGAAGGTCCAGCCTGTGGGCCACGTAAGGCGCACACAGTCATCAACACAGCTAACGTCACACACCTCCCCAAAGAGAAGCAGTTCCAGCCATCACATAGGGGTGAGTTAATTAAATGTGAGCAAAGATAGCAGGCTGATTTTCAAGTTGATCATTTTTATGGCCCGTGAATGATATTAAAAATATCCAAATGGCTTTTGACAGGGCAAAAAAAGGTTCCCCATCCCCAGTCTAATAGCATCCTTCTGAAGATAAACACAATGACAAGTAAGCATAGGACACTAATCAGTATGTTTTTTAAATTTATATACACATGCCATCTAATGATCTCATCAGTAATCGATGGTGAGTAAATTGCGTTTTCCCCCAAGGAAAAGAAAAAATATGAAAATGAATATTTCTTGAGCAAATAAATGCCAAGGACTTTATTTCCGTTTCTTACGTAGTAATCCTCATGCCGTCCCAGGAAAGGAGCTGTGATTCCCATTCTAACAGGGACATGAATTCAGGCTCAGAGAGGGTAAAGAGCCCAAAGTCTCACAGTTCACAATTGTCAAGCGTAGATCCCGATCTTAGTTGATCCTTCTCCACAGCCCACAGGTACTTCCCATCACAGCGCATCATCGCAGTGCAGAGACAACTCAGACAAGTTAACGAGCAGCTTTGTCCAAGGCAGTGTGATGGGGGTAAGGGTGGGCGCACCCCAGAAAGAAATCTCCATGCAACATTTTAAGAGAGCCTGACCAACGATTTCACTGCCTGGGCTTGTTTCACCACTGGTTGGAAAAGAAGCCACACACATGGCTGTGTTTGCCTTTCCGGCCCCTGATGAAGGTGGTGAAGACGATGATTAGACTGAGAGTAGTAATGTCAGTACAAGCAGATGTGGGTTTTAACTGTGCTCCTGTCACTGTGTTGGGCGGTGGAGGGATCAGTGTGGAAGAAGAGGGGTGTCTGTTCCTCTAGAAGGGGCCGGGGTAAGTCTCCGTGCTCCTTCAATGCACAGTGTGCTGTGGAGAGCTAGGGTGCAGCCATCATCTCCCTTGTCCGTTCTGGGTTCTGGGTTCATCTCACATCAAACAGTATCAAGTGAGATTGATCCAAGTGAGGAGTTGGCCAGGAGCCTGTTCTGGGTGAGGGTCCTAAGCAGGTGGCTGGCCTCTTGGATCAGTTACCAGGTGTGGGAAGACGAGCCACATGCTGTGTGCTAGGCGTCCACCCTGTGAACTTCACGTAGAGACACGTTTGCCAAGCCCAACATATTAAACACCAGAGACACACACGCCGTGGAAATTCCCATGGGAGCTGGGAGCAGGGAAGGGTTCCTGCTTCTCCAACTGGGTCTTAAATTACATGTCCAGAGAGTAATCATGGGGGAGTCAGGGGTCATCCCCCTGTGATGAGCACCATTGAAGTAGAACTCGTGTTCCGTTTTGCTTCAATCAAGAAAATCCCCTGGGTGACTGAAAAGAGCAAGGAGAGAGACCTGGCAGCCTGAGGAGCAAGACGCCCTTTCCTCTGTCTTCCACAGATATTTCAGGAGTGGGGACTTGAAATTATGAAACTGATTTTTAAAATTAACCTGAAAAGAAGACTGAAATCATTACCATATAACCAGAAAGAAATGTTTCCCACGCGACCATATTGTCCTTATATAAAGCACTATTTTTGCTTCCAGAAGTGAATTTCCCCTAGTGCACTGCCTTCCTTTAGACTCCCCCCTCTGGATGCTGCCAGGATGGTGGCTGCGGCGGTGGCGGTGACAGGGAGATGGTGTTCTGATGGTATGAGTCAGCCGCAGGGAAGTCTTCCAGGGGGGAGACTGTCAAGATTGTGGGCTCCTTTTGGTTTTGCCTGCATAGAGAGACACTTCCCCTTGCTGACTGACTTGTGCGCTCTTGAATCGGAACCCCGTTGTTGGTTGGGTCCCAGGCAAGGGTCAGCATGAGGACCACAGTTGGGTTGGTACAGTGCTTACAGGATGATGAGCAGGGAAAGGGTTGGACAGAACTAAGAAGCTGCCATGCAAGTAGACACCGACTTAGTGCTGGCTCGAGTTACACGGGGCCTCACACTCCTTTGTGTACACCCTAGTGTTGTAAAGATGTGTTGCAGCCAGTGTCACGTGGATAATTTGCTAAAGTTATCATTCTCCTGCCCACCCCCAAAGGCAAATAAAGACAAAATTAATAGCAATAAAAGGCAATGATACTGAAAACAAAAAGGTGAGTCATTCAACTACATCGGCAGGAACTTGCAAAGGAGTCATTGGGCTCTAACCCCATGGGGCTGTAACCCCATCGTAAGTTGGGCTTACGATGGGCTTCAAGTATCCCCGTACTACCTGGCTGTTCATTGTTTACCTTTTATTTTTGTCCTCAATCAGGAATTGAATTAATCTGTGAGAAAGACATTGACCTGGCAGCCCAGGTGCAAGAGCTACTGGAATTTCTCCATGAGAAGCAGCATGAACTGGAGCTCAATGCTGAGCAGACCCATAAGCGGCTAGAGCAGTGCCTGCAACTGCGGCACCTCCAGGCGGAGGTCAAGCAGGTGAGCCTGGCCCCTCCCAAGCCGCCCCCCAACCTCCCCTCCCCTATACCTCTCCCCATATCACCGCCTACCACCACCATCACCCACCAGCCTCCACCAGCAGCCACCTTGAGCCTGAACTTCCCAGCCTGCTGAGTCAGGCCTGAGGCTAAAGGATACAGAGCCCCAAGTGCATCCCCTAAAGTAAGCAGCATGTAGAAGACACACAGGTGAAAGGCTTGGCCGTCTTCATCTCTGAAAGCTAGGCTGCTATTATGAATGGACCCAACAGTGCCATGGCATGAACTCTCAGAACAATCGCAGGAGTGCATTCCAGACTCTCCTGAGTGGTCAGTCCCTGAACCTCTCCTCCTCCTCCTCCCTGTCTCTAATCCTGGCACACCATCCATGAGAAGGGCACACCCCCTTCAAGAAGCATGGTTAGGCATTATTAGCTTCAGGGTCCATCCATATGGGGGGCCTGCTAGTGTGCCTCCAAACAGTGCCTGATGCCTGGTTGACAGCCGATAAGTTGTAGCAGTTGCCCTCATTGTTTTCAATGTGTGGGGTAATCTTGTAAGAAGCCTTTCTTTCCATATTAAAGTTGATTTTTAAAAGAAAAGAAAAAAGAATCCTTAGTGGCAGGAGACATGGCGAGACATGTTTTTGTGAAAGGGCATACTCAGGTCTTTGAGCGTTCAAACCTCAAAGAATGGACCCACTTTGGCACATGTTCACACTAGTGGGAAGAGATCAAGTGTTGATCCCTGTCAACAGAATCCGCAGGAATCTCATCTTTAGAAAAAGTGGGGTTGAAGAAGCAAACATCTGGTCGTCCATCCCATGGAATGAGTGCTCTGAGCTTTTGGAAGTGCCCTGAGGATGCTGTGGGCCGAGCATTGGACTGCTAACTTCAAGGTTGGCGGTTGAAGGCCAGCAACCTCTCCCCGGGAGAACAAAGAGGCTATCTGCTCCCACCAAGAGTTACGACTTCAGAAACACAGTGTAACGTGGCTGTGGGCGGGGGAGGGCTCGGTTCCTTTTACACACATCTCAATCCAGCCTCACAACCACTTCAGAAACAGATGTAGTCTGTTTTACAGATGAGGCCACTGGTGTTTAGACAGTGCCACCGTGGGGCTAGAACACTGTCCACAGGTCTGGACGGGCCCTCAGCAGGACAAACTTTCTATCACTTCAGGGGTTACACCCTTCTGCAGGCTCTTCCAGCCACCACCACCCCTACTTTTAGGCAGAAAACCTGTCATCAAGTTAACCCTGACCCATCCAGATCCCCTAGAGAGTGTTCGAGACTGTCAATCTTTATGGGAGCAGACAGCCTCAGCTTTCTCCCACAGAGCAGTAGATGGGTTTGAACCTTCATCCTTCCAGTTAGTGGGCCAGTGCTTACCTCACAGCAGCTCTTGGGCTCCTTTCCTCTAGGCTGAGCCCTGCTCTCCCCACCCCACCCCCAAAAATTCTGAACTGAAACATCTGTCTCTTTTTAGCCATTTTCCCCCTCAGGTACAGTGTGGCTTCCAGAGCCTTTGGACTTGGTTTGAATCTAATAATTTAGCACAGGGAACAAAGATAGTCTTTAATGCAGCGATCGCGTCACCTTGTGTAGTCAGGCTACGCGTGCTAGCGTGCTGGAGAGACTGCATTGTTCTTCGCCCTCACAGGAAGAGTGGCCTTCCTCACCCCTTTCCTCTTCGAGCCAAGACATCACCAGAACCCCCACACATTGTCATTGCCCTCCAGCAAGGCTGCGACACAGCGCTGCCAGCCCATGGCATGGAGTCGTGGCCCTCTGGGGAGAAATGGTGTTCCTTAGGACCTGGTGGAATCCTCGCCGGCCCAGGACACAGTGAGAGGCAGGAAGAATCCATAGTCTTTTCACACGTGCAGTGTTGTCTCCTTTACAAAGTCACTTTCCGAGTAGAAGGGGCCCCTGGGAGAAAGGAGGGTTACCTAGATTTTACAAGGGAGGCACCATAAGGATGGTGCTCCCTGGGGCCGCGTGACCCCTGAGCCGAGACTTGAGCCCAAAGCCAGACTCAGAGCAGAGTGAAAGTGGTCCGAAGATGCCTCCAGGGCTGTTCATCTTCGAGGAAGCAAGTGGTCCTGCCTCTCTCTGCAGCGCGACTGGTGTGTTTAAATTGTTCACCTTTCAGTTAGCAGCCGCGTGCTGAATCACTGTGCCACTAGGCCACCTGAATTTGATTTTTGCCTCTGCAGGGGCCGCCAAAAAACCCCAAAAACCAACTCATTGCCTTCCAGTTGATGCCACTCCTAGCGACCCTGTAGGGCAGGGTAGAATTGCCCCTGTGGCCTTCTGAGACTGTAACTCTTCACGGGAGTAGAGAGCAGCATCTCTCTCCCTAGGGGCGGCTGATGGTTTTGAACTGCTGACCTTGCCATTTGCAGCCCAACGCGTCACCATTACGCCACTGGGGCTCCTCTACTGGAACCTACTCCTGCCTATTTCAGGAAAATTAGGAAGAAATCCTCCAGCAGAACATGGCCTAGTATTCTCCGGAGCTTCTCAGCAAGACCCTGGCTGAGAAGACAGGGTAGGTGTGGCCTAGACTTCTCGGAGGGCGGTGCCTGTCTGGTTGGCCAACTGGAGTTCCCAGCAAGGCAGCCAAGTTCTCCTCGGCTTCCCGTGCTTGGCGGTTTCTGCCCGTGGAGTTAACTGCGTGGATAATCTGAACACAGCAGAGAGGAGGAACACATTCCTCTGAGACTTAAGAGATGCAGTCTATGATTTCATTTCTGGCCATGTTTGCGCTTCGCTGGAACATGAGTAGTAGAACTTAACTCCCTGCTTGTGTTGGTCTCGGCTGATCTTCAATCGGAATGGATGTCTCTTTCCCTAAGTACACATTCTGTGTGCAAGGAGGACTGAGGAGATAAGTCGCCCTTCAAAGGCAGAAGCTGAGAATCTATAACCGCATAATCCAACATTGACAAATATGTGTACATGTTACCATTCAGAATCTCATGGGTTGGGGACAGAGGAAGAATTCTTCAGTGTGAGTTGGGACAATTCCTTCTCCCAGCCTCGGGAGAAGGACACACAGTAGAAATGCAGCTCAAAACCGTGTGGTGTTGACTGAGTCAGGCTCTTTAGGAAACCAGCGAAGGCCTGGGCAAAGGGCAACGGCCCTGTGAGATGCCGAGAGACTGCTGCTTGGTGCAGCCCCCACACCTCATTAGACAGACTGCTCCCCTGCCAGTGCTAGGCTCCTTCCTGAGACGTCGGATCCAGTTTCAGAGAAGGCATTGCTGTTTGATGGAAATTGGTGAAGCGGGAAATATTGATCTGGAAGCTGTTGACACTTCGAAAGAGGTAGTTAATCTAGATGTCAGTATTGATCCCTGAGCTTAAATTTAGACACCAGCTTGAAAGTTTCTTTTTTGAATATACTCTTAAAAGACAAAGCGGGGTGGAGGGGTGGGGGCAGCTTAATCACAATGCCACCAATGGGAACAGAACGGGGAACAACAATATGTGGCCACTATAACCTTATGTGAAATTAAATTATATTAAACTAAAGCTTTAGCGAGTGAGCCATTGAAGTACTCAATGATTCAGACCAATGAAACTGATGAAGGCAACCTCTTTTCTAAGGGATTTCCTAGGATTCTATATCAACGATGTATGACTGAAACACCTCTGGAGAAATGGTAGACGCTGAAGGCAACTCACTCTCCTGATCATGGTCTGTGGCTCAGGGCCCAAGACCACACAGATTTCCATTTCTCCTAGAAAATCAATTCTGTGTACACACACACACACACACACACACACACCCCGCCACCCGATAATGCTCTGATTGCCTTCCAGGAAAATGACTATCCTGGTAAACATGACCTCACATCTGAATCAGAAACATTTGAAAAACCCATTTAATGGGCATAA